AGCAGAGCCAAAGAACTGGCTTTTAATTTTGTGGTTTCAATCCTATTTCAAAACTTAAACTGATAACCCTCCATCTTAATTTAAAAATAAACCCTGCTGCCTCACTTAATCATGTCTCCAAAAATACTTTGGCCAGATGCACAGTTTCCTGGTGTCCTTTCCAGAGGCAAAGTCAGCTGTTTCACCTCCTCGGTTTCATTCTCCAGGCATGCCCAGAGGCCATACACCTACCACAGCTGTCTCTTGGTGTGCCCTTTGGCTACCAGCTATGCTCTGATGAGCCCCAACTTCTCAGAGGCCTGGATAGCCAGACAGATTTGGGGCAGATTTGACACTGATTTAAAAACAGGTTGAATTGGCTTTCAACATGGCATCCAGGACACAAAGGTAGACCGGGGCCAAATTCTCCTCATGCTGAGTTGAGTGCAGCAAATTCTTGGATCTTGATAATATTTAATTTTTTCTTTATTTCAAGTTGACCTGTCCTGTATTGCTTCATTCTTCTCTCATTTCTTAAAATCTTTTTTTTTTTTTTTTTTGTCTATCTGCCTCTGCCTTTCTCTTCCTTATTTTTTGTTTCCAATAACAGGCTTAATAATGTTCTCTTCATTGTTTCTGACATTGCTTTATTGACTCATATTTTGCCATAAATTATAACATTTTTCTTTTTCTATTTGGGCTGCATTTCCCCACAAACACAATCCTTTCTGAGAAAAACACATTCCCCCCCTCCAAATCCCTTAAATGATGTAACAAATACTTCTTTGGAGAAATTTTGGCCCAGGTATGATGTCTTATCTGTTGCCATTAAATAAATGTTTGGTTTTGACATGATAAACCACCAGTGTGTTTTAAATAGACTTGGTTTTAAGGTGGAATTTAGCTCCACTGGCAAAGGCAGGGACACTGTCTTTCTTCCTACCACCCTTTATTTATACAATTTAAGACTATAATGATAAATGCTTTTTCTCCCTTTGATATTTTAAAGAACTAAGGTCTTGGACATGTGTCTTTCCTCTGTATGTTTTATTTTATTAGGTAACACTGAGATGAACATAACCTTGCATGAGGTGGTTGTGAAAAACCAAAAACAACCTACCCCAACACCCCACAAAAGAAAACTCTTATGGTTTTATTGTTCTGTCAAGGATTTATTGTCAAATTCCATTTCAGCAATTCCAGACAGCAGGATTAAAAAGTGTTTGTGGGCTCAGAAAAGTGTCCCATTGATATTTTGAGTCAACAGCTAACTATAAATGTTCTTTGATAAGAATACATAAGGGGGACTTCATGAAGGAATGGTGCTGGGATCTCTGTTACAACATTGTGCACACCAAATGAATCTTATCCTACCAGCCTAGAGAGTAGGCAGGGCTCATTTCCTAGCAGGCTGGATTATGACTGAGCAAAAATGTCAATGAATCAATGAATAATCAATGAACATTCATGTAATATTATACTAATGCTGTTTCCTGGCTGATCACTGCTTCTAAAATTTTCAACAAGTTCAGTATTGTGGGGTGGGAGTCATTCACTTCAATTCCACCTATTTTCAATTAAAATCACTCTCCTTGCCTCTTTGGATGTCTATTTTAGAATGAGATGGCTCAAATCCTACATGTGTCTTTTCTCTTCATTGATTATAGGGAGAGTTCAAACTCATAGCTCAGATATGGCAGTGGGAGTGGACTAGGTGGTCTTTAATGGTACCTTCCAATCCAAACCATTTCACAATTCTCCCATGTGGGGAGACACGAGGCCTGACTCCATGTTTCTCAGAAGGCTGTTTTTTTATCTTATGATATATATTATATTAAACTTACATTACTACATTAAAACTATACTAAATGAACAGAGAGAAAAGAATGATCAGAAGGCTACAAAGAACAATAATAGAATACATAACAAAATCTTGTGACTCTCAAAGTCCGATGCAGCTGCATCTGTGATTGGCTCTTAATTAGAAACAACCAACATGCACCAATCACAGAAACAATCAACATGCACCTGTTGCATTCCACAGCAGCAGATAGTTATTGTTTACATTTCTTTCCTGAGGCCCTCAGCTCCTCAGGAGGGGAAAATCCTAGCAAAGGATTTTTCATAAAATGTCATGGTGACATTCTGTTATACAAATCTCTACTCTGTTGTTTGGCAAATAGCCAGATGAATCTTATCCAGACAGGTTTCTTTTTGTTTCATGCTTAGCATTTTGCTACTTCCATTGAAAAAATGAGGTAGCAAACTTCAGGAGGCTACAGAACATTAGAAGAAAGTAAGTTTTGCAACATCAAAGGCAATGGGCATGTTTTAGTGGCAAACCCACTTTACCAGCAAGCTGATAATATTCTGAATTACTTCACTGGCTCAATCACATTTAAAGAGTCATGGTAGCATATAATCATAGTGCTTTACTTTTATTCCTTAGAGCTTTACATAAAAGAGAGAGATTGCATAAATAAACAGAGTAACTGTTCACCTTAGCTCCAGATAAAACTCCTGTTTCATAAAGTTCCTCCATGAAGACAAAATTTTGATGCTGGTTTTAAAATCAACAGTTTTAACTGCTTTAACAAAAATCTAATGTATCATACATCATTATTTTGATGGAAGCAAAGATTATTTTGAGGATTATATCCAATACCAGGCAGTAAACAACTGGAATTTAGATGCATTACAGCTTGATTTTACACATCTGGATCCCCGGAGCAGCATACAGGACCAGACTGGTGTCTGAGCCAGTGTACATTGTCAGTCTCATCTCAATGCTCATTACAAATTCATGCCAGTAATACTCAAGTTTACAGCTGCCTGAAGTTGACTCTTCCTGGCAGCAAGGATGAGCTGTAATTTCTCTGTCATGTCCATCCATTGGGCATACACAGCTCTAAGACCCCTCTCTCAGAGGGAGTCCCTCTGGTCCTTCATTCAAATAGGAGAACAGTCCTTCTAAAGGGAAGGAGGAAGAAAAAGAAGAAGGTGCAACCCTCTCTCCATGTTGCCCTTATATTCCCCATATTTTTCTGGAGTGATAATCCAGGACTCCAGCTGCCATGCTATGATCTGGGTGATTCAGGCTCAGCTCTCAGAACTTCAGATCATGGATAAGATATGCACAGAAAAAAACACTCTGGGGAGGAGGAGGAACTAGAAGCCAGCATTTATTTTTCCAGTTAGTACAGCTGGGTTATGGAGTCATGGTTCTTCTCTGGTCCAACAAAATTTGAATTCTTCTGGCACAGCTTCTGAGATTCAGCAGAGGGAAGGACAAGTGCCAGAACTGTCTGGTAGCTAGATGACTTTCCTGGGAGACACATGTATTACTGAAAGCAGGATCACTGCTTGGCCTAATGGTCTGAGTGCTGGGGAAGGATGGGGGATGGGACAGAAACTTCCTCTGGTTGAGTTTTAAAAAAAACCATGTTACTGCAGATGAATTTTACCTGAACACAATTCTGCTGGAGTAAGACATGGACAAAGGTCTCTGCTCAAGGGATGATTTTAATGTGTTTGTAAGCAAGTTGCATTGCTTTGTCAAGATGGGAGCAGTCAGGGTGTGCTTCAAGACAGACAAGGGCACCTGAGGGTTTTTTAACAAGAGGAGCATGATACTTCATTTTCTCTTAAGAGCAGCTGTGTGAGGTGTTTAAAGTCGCTATTATGAAGATGGGGGTCCAGCGGAGCTGGATAAACCAGCTAATCCCAACACACGGCAGGAAGGCCATCAGCCTGCTGTGTAAAACCTCAGCAGGTCCCTATGGGCATCATTAGACACTCTCATATCTTAAAAATTTTGTCCCTGATGCCATTTCTGTTAAAGGGCAACCTGGGCCAGCAGGTCCCCAGGGCTTGGGACCACATGGGGTTCCACTGGGGTGGCAAGGCAGAGCCTGGCCCATCCCTCCATCCGGGTCAGGAATGGGGCAGTGCAGGCACCAGGGCAGCCCCAGCCCCTGGCGTCACGCACTTCCTGGGGATGGGCTGAGGCCACACCAGGACACATGGGCAGGCCCAGCTTGGTGGGACTCCATGACCAGGCAGGGGAGCTGGAGACCAGCCCTACTGTGACATTGGTGGGGCAGGGACCAGCTGGCCCAGGAGTCTGATGTGGTGTTCTTGCCATGGGCAGTGCGCAGGGAAACCAGGGCAGCTGGGCAGGGACAGTCAGGGCTGCCAGCACCTCAGGGCCCAAACACTGGCGTGTACTGGTCATCCCAAAGGCAGGCAGGCTTTACATGGCTGCTGCTGTGCTGCCAGACATGCCCTGTGTTTGTCCACCCACTTGCCTTGGCTGCTCTGGGCAAAGCCTTACCTGCATGACTTCTGTGTATGCCTGGCCTCCACATGGGCTTGGATTTCACCATTGATGCTTGTTTGCAAAACACATGCCACTAAATCCAGCTCTTTTATGCAGCCTAAGCATCATTTGGGCCCTAGCACCCATCTCAGCTGCCAAGATACTGATTTAAACATCCCTGAAAGGAAGCATAGCTTTCCTATTTGGTTCCAAGTTTGTTGCCCTTTCCACAGGTAACAATACCCTGACCCACAATTCTCTTATTGAAAACACCCTGCTCCACAAGCAGAGGTTCCCAGGAACCTGAGTTCCCTGGAGCAGTCAGCCACTGCATGATGGTTTGCAGCTGTTTATGGTGACTCTGCTGTGGGTGGTTTAACACTCATGAGGGCACACCACATGGTGAACTCACTCTCAACATGACATAATTGTTGTCTTCGGACAAAATAAAACACCTCAGAAACACAAACAAAGATGTTTATTCAAAATAAAACATCATATTCACATCATTAAGAATTGTGAAATATAAAGAGGTCATTTTGCAAGTTGTTGAGCATCCATGAGCACAAGGGCTTCCATTTTCATCAGAACAGCTGCCTGGGACATGCATATATTCATCTGAATGTGGCCAGACAAATTTCTAGCCCTCTTTCTAGAAAGATATTGATTTGACTGGTGACATCATGCTGACATTTTCACAGTTTCATTTGCTCCCGATCTGGCAGTAGAGGACCATAGAAAACACCAAACCAAGAATCTGGAAAACAAAGATATTTCTGGTATTACTTGGTAATTCTGAAAATCAGCTGATACATAATGGGAATATTTTGTTTGCAAATGTCTTGAATTTACATGCAGGCTAAATCTACTATGCAGAAGATTTTTTCCAATGTGCCTCTTACAGCATAGAGAAACTTTAATGAAGTCAGTATATACCACAGATAACACTGCAGATACCGTGAAGTTTCATTTGTTTAAAAAATGGATTGCCTCTGAGCATGAGGATCCCTGTATCTCTATGTGTCTAAAATGCAGTTGTTAGCTGTAATGGACCAGCAATTACAGAGAAGTTCAGGAAATTTGGACAAAAATTGAGCATTTTATTTTCTGATAAAGTTAGAGGAATGTTCACTGTGTATTCTAAGGGTTGTCTCCCTTTCACATCTCTTCCACTGTCGCTCTCTTCTGTGTAACCATATGTGTGAAGTGTATGTATACAGGTATATATATATATACATGTGTATACTGTATACAGGTATACATCTATAAACCTACCTCACTGGTTTGAGTTACAAATGGTCGTGCAACAAATATTTTATATTTATCAGTAATGCACTTGGGATAGAAACAGCAGTGAGTTCACTGAAGAAACTGTTACGTGAAATAGAAAATTCTATAGAGTCACCTTCTGTACTGGGAATTACTGGGTACAATTCCATGACCTGTGGCAGACAGCTGGTGAGATCAGATCAGAAAGTTTCCTTCTGAATTTAAAGTTAACCAGACTGTGAACACGTTCCACAAAAGTGGAAAGTGCCCAGCTGACACCTTTGAAGCCAAGAACACTGACATACTTTATTTACTTAGGGAAGAGACAGAGAAGAGCATATGTAGCACAGAGGTACAGCTAAGACAAAGGGAGGGACTCACATCTGGAATAAACTGACAAGGCTTCCCTGACATACCATGCCCACATTTGCACTTGCACCCAAATGAAACTGGGCCCTTCTTATCTGTATAATTTTCACTAGGAGGGTGAGCTGAAAGCAGTGACAGTTCACAAGGGGCATAATGAAGCAGGCAGAGGGGGGAAGAGCACCTCTTTTTATCTGGGATTTCCTAGAGCAGAGAGGTGGTTAAGCAAATGGCCTTTCATTTGTGACTGCTAGAGTTAATATGGAAAGGCTAAATGTTTATCAAGTGTAAATTGCCATCTGACAATTTGTGCTGAGTCTCATACTGTTTATTCATGTTGTTTTCTAATCCTTTTATGACTGGGAGAGGCAGCCAGCACAGAAAATGCCAGCTGGAGAGCAGGAAAAAATGATGGCCAATGAACTAAAGGCTACAACCCACATAACTGCAGTAACTAGAGCAAAGTGACTTCTAATTTGCTTTAGGGATACAGATGCAATTTTACACTTTAATTATATTTTAAGGCCATTTAATATCAGTATATTTCTTTTTTTTTTTTTCCCTCAAAGTAACATATGGGTGAGAGACCAGACCGCCCACATACAGCTCCTTAAATACCAGAAACCTGTGCTGAGTAAGAAGTTGGTGGCCTGTACACTTCCACTGCTGCAGCTGCATAATTCTTCCCCACTTACAACTATTTTCCTGGAAACACAGTTTTGAGTTGGGGCTCTTGCTCACTCTTCTGCCACGAGGAGCAATCCTCTGCCAATGATGTTAAGAAGTATATGCTTTGAATAACAGACTGAACTTTCCTCAGCAGTCCTTGTCAGTTCTGTTTTTCCCTCAAACACCACTGGTAGAGAGCAAGGGTGGAAGAAAAGCAAGGAGGAAGAGTAAAAAGAAAAAAAAAAAAAGACTGAAGAAAGCACCATGATGAAATCCCCTGTTTCTTTATAATTTTCTCCTATTCAAATCAAAATCAAGTAGCTGGCTGAATAGCCTTACTTCTTTTCCTCCTCCCTTCAGAGAAAATATTGCATGTTATTCTTCAGTGTATGGTGAGGAAATTAAAAGAAACAGTTCACATATTCTGTGGGTTTTTTACACACAGGAATATATGGAGCATCACACATGTGCAATCATTCATGCATCATCTTGATGCTTGAAGTTTTAATGCCTCAGAATTATAATTTTGTACCAAAACGTCTTAATGATAAAAATATGTACTCTAGGGACTTAGTTTTCTTAGGAGATAACTTTTCCCTCAAGAAAAGATGAGAAAGAGGAGGAAAAAATCTGTCTATTCTTCCTCATGTCTTCTGGCACTGTTTATTTGTGCACATCTCTGTACACAGGGCTCAGTGTCAAGACACAGCCTGGCTTCAGGACTGGCAATTTTTTTGAAGAAAATCTCCCATGTGATACACTTATACAGGGTGGTCTGATCTCACCTGAAGTCTGCAGCTCAGCAGCCATATACTTTAATGAAATATGTTTATATGAATAACAGTAACAGTTATAGCTGAGAGGTGGTTTTCCCTAGTCTATTAATTGAGCAAGCCATGTGTTTTAATCCCATTCCCAATGTATTTCCAAATAGAACATATTGCTTGTCAGCTACTAAGTATTTTAACAATGTACACTGGTACCTCAACGACAGCCAGTCCAAAGGCAATCCCCATAATTATGACCAGATTGTCTTTAATTTGTTGCATAATCACTTTTCCACAGGACTGAAAAAGAAAACAAAATTCTTAGTTATAGGTAAGTCTATAGGTTATATAGAAATGCATCTTCTAAAATAGCTCTCAAACTCTCTCTCTCTTTCTCTTTAGCTCTGTGCTAAAAAAGGCTATTTGGATTTCCTCTGGCTTGTTGTTCATGAACACAAAACACACAGCTATATGTACTTTATGCTCTGCAAAAGTCTTTGCCTTCCCAAGTGTGAAGATCTAGTAGCTGACCATAAAAAGTTACTATTTTAAAGGAAGACCTACCGCTGTAAAGCCTAATGTTTTCATTATTTTCAGTTAACAAGGAAAGAAGTGTTTTTTCTTACTTTCATTTGATAATCATTTGCTACTAGGAAAGAGTCAATGCAGCAAGCCATGACCAGGTCTGAGAGGGAACTTGTTTCCCACCAATGTTTGGATTTGAAATTTCAAGGTTTATTATTAGACTTGGGATTAACTAAAAATATTTGGTTATAAAACCTAGCTTCAAAATTCATTTTGTCCAATGTTTGGTGGTCTTAGGCTGGGGCTGGAAGGAAGAGAGTAATCAGCATGGCTTCATGAGGGGAAAGTCCTGCCTGTTGAACATTCCTTCTATGACTGAGTAATGCACCTAACTTATCTTGGAAAGCCAGTAGATGTAAACTTTTTGAACTTCAGCAAAGATTTTGGTGCTGTCTCTCACAGTATCCTTCTGGACAAAATGTCCAGCATACAGCCATGTTATGCCATAGGTGAGCAACTGGCTCATGGGTCAGACACAAAGAGTTATAGTAAGTGAGGTAACATCAATCTGGAGTCAGGTTAGTAGTGGGATTCTGCAGGGCTCCATCCTCAGTCCAATTCTCTTCAACATGTTCCTTAACAACTTGAATGTAGGATTCGAAGGAATACTAAGGAAGTTTGCCAACAACACTAAACTAGGAGGAGCTGTTGACTTTCTTGAGGGAAGAGAGGCCCTAGAGAGAGAGCTCAACAAAACAGAGAGATGTGCAATCACCAATCACATTAAGTTTAACAAGGTCAGGTGCCAGATTTTGCGACCCTTTTTGGTTATGTTGGGGTTTGACTGGGAAACAAGAAGCTGGAGAGCAGCCCCACAGAAAGGGACCTGGGGGTCCTGGTCCATGGCAAGTTGAATGTGAGTCAGCAGTGCCCTGGCAGCCAGGAGGGCCAACCCTGTCCTGGGGGACTTCAGGCACAGCATCACCAGCTGGGCAAGGGAGGGGATTGTTCCACTCTGCTCTGCACTGGGATGGCCTCACCTTGAGCGCTGGGGGCAGGTTTGGGCACCATAATATATGAAAGATATAAAGCTACTAGAGATTGTCCATGTAGGGCCATGTGAAGGGCCTTGAGGGGAAGCTATATGAGGAGTGGCTGAGGACACTTCCTCTATTCAACCTGGAGAAGAGGAGACTGAGCGGAGACCTTATTTGGGTCTTCAGCATCCTCATGAGGGGAAGCAGAGGGGCAGGTACTGATCTCTTCACTTTCATGAACAGTGAAAGGACTGAAGGAAATATCATGAAGCTGAGTCAGGGGAGACTTAGCCTGGATATCAGGAAAAGATTCATCACCCAGAGGGTGGCTGGGCATAGGAAGAGGCTCTCCAGGGCAGTGATCACTGCACAAACCTGACAGAGTTCAAGAAGCATTTGGACAATGCTCTCATGCACATTATGTGATTCTTGGGGCTGTTGTGTGTAGGGCCAGGAAGTGGACTCAGTGATCCTGATGGGTCCCTTCTAACTCAGTGTATTCTATGATTCTACAGCTGAAGTTCTGTGCAGAACTACTCTCTTTTTGAATACTTGCATACGTCTGTTCTTACAGTGACTACATCTTCTCTAGGCACTCACAATCCTCCTTCTGCAAACAGGAGGGAAAGCCAAGTACAGCTTAAATACATCTAAATTTCGTTACTGTTCCAACACTACAACTGTCTTCTCCCCAAATATAGTTGTATTTTTTCACCATATTTCCTCTCTCACAATGAACACATGGGTCTTCTCCTTCTAGTTCTAAAAGTCTCTCAGTTAAGCTGATTCATAACTGCACTGGATTTCAAATCTTTTTTCCCATATCAGAAGAGTGGATGTCTCTACTAGCATCTCACATCACCATGAAATCTGTGTGTTCATATGAGCAATATCTTGCACCTGCAGTGATTTCACAGATGGCTTCTCATGTGTCCTTTGAGGGCTTGCCTGAGGCCAAAAAGACATTAAAGTATGGCCAAAACACCCTTTTTGTATACATCTTATTTCCAGACTGGGTTCTGGTATCCTCTACTTAACCAGATTGTTTCATTGCTTTAAAATAGTATTTGCTTCTGTGGGACTACACAGGGAGGAAATTACTGCTTAGGCAGGACCTGATTAAGGAGCTGTGCAATTAGAGAATTATACAACCAGAATGGATATTTGCTAAATTCTGCTTGGTGCTAGGTACATACTGGCAAAATTTGCACCACCAGCATTTTAAAATTTCAATTACTTTGTGCTATTCAATTATTTTGTGCATTTCTTTTTAAATGTTTTTTCATATCCATAGAGGCCAGATTTCCACATAATGAGACAAGCAAACCATGAAATTTGTTTTTTGAGACCTCTAGTGTCTACAAGATGGTGCTCTTCTGAGTGTGCTTTCTTTTTACCTGTCACCAGATATTTTGCCTTATTACATTAATTTTTTCAAAAGGCTGTAGTAGTAAGAAATCACTCTTTGAATATTCTGCCATGAATCCCACAATATGTAAGGTTTCTTCCCAGCAGATCCTGCAGAATGAGTGTGGGGTTTTTTTATTAGAAGATTATAAAACCCCAAAGGTCTTGCATTTAATGTGTTTGATTCTCAATATACCTTAGCATTTTGAAAGTCTCAAAGTCAACATGTCTCCTAGCACAATGAGCCTGGATGGGAGCATAGCCTTCTGAGAGAGGAACGAGAGCCAAAGGGTAGCTGGTGTGCAGCTCTGACCCAGGGTCATACCCTGACCCCAAATCCAATAATTTTGTAGATTGCTAAGGGCCTAACCTGGAGATCTCAAGAAGAGGAAGGAGCAGAGTTATGAACAGTCATTTCTTAACAGATGGCGTGGGGGTAGGTCTGGCTAAGAACAAAAAAGCAAAACTTTGCATTTTCAGAAAGATACAGAACTCATGACTAGGTCAGTCACCAGAGATAACCTTGGGTTAAAACTTGGCTCTTTGGAAAGAGGAGTGAACATTTTTCTCACTTTTTTATAGATGTCTCTGCCTTTATATTTGATGCAAACGTCTGATGATGGCTTCTCTAGTTCACACTGACAGATGTCTTTTTGTTTGTCAAAATTTTCTCCCCAGTCTCCAGGTCCATTCTGTAATCCACAACACTGGTACTGCAAGAAAGAAGTAAATGTGGAGAAGAGTTAAAAAAATATATTATTTTCTTAAAAAAAAAAAAAAAAGAAGAGATAGGAGAAAAAAGACCAGATTTTCAGTATAAAATGCTCAAAAAACATTAACATACTATAAAGCTAGTAATTATCAGTGCCAGAATGGAACTAGAACATTGGGTATAGTATTTTTTTAAAAATCAAGCCTTCTTTCTATAGGTTGTACTTGCAGAAGGTAAATTGCCAGCTCCAGTAATATCCACATTTCACATCTTAAAAAGTCAGGCTGGAAATGTAAAATTCAGGCACACAAAACTCTGAAATCTAGAAAAATAACCTCTTTGAATGATGGTTATCTCTTTAAATTGGAAATGGACTGAAGAGACCAGGGCTCCATTTGGGGTTTGTGAAACCTAAACCAGGTGCAGTTTCACTTCATGTTCCACTATATTCTAGCCACTAAAGCTCAGAGGTGCAAACTTGGGCTTGAGGTCCTCCCTCTAGTAAAAAGCAGCTGGAAATGTTCACATAATTTTGTATAAAAGCAAAGGCTGTGGGACATAATACAGCAGTCCTGCTACATTTAGAAATTAATGCAGTAATTATGGGATTTTTCATTTTGCTCATCTCTCCAGAGGGCTTATTATATCAGAAGAAATAAGCTGTTCTCAGAAGCAGAGGACCAGGCTGGAGATGGAATGGGGAAGGAGAAGTGGAAGTAACATAAGACACCTAAATATTGTTCCTTGTTTGGTTTTCTTTTATACAGCAGTCTTTAAAAACATAAAAATTAACTTTATGTCAATCCATAAAAGTAATCACCCATTAGGGACTAAAAAACCAGAACAGCAGGTATGCCTGTCAATGTACAGACCCAGGTACCTGTGGGAGGGGAGGGGGTGTGTGCTGTCAATGTCATCAATGAGATTCCAGGGTATCCTCTGTGAGATACCCAGGAGCAAGCTCACACTAAGCATCCACCATCCAGGTCTTGCAGGATGGGGGCACCAGGAAAAGTGCAAACACAATGAAAATAAACTTCTCATTGTATTTTATTCCCTCTTCTAACACAGTAAAATGTGGCATTTAATGACTTCATAGCAGTAGGATATTCCAAATTAAATGCACTCCTGATGTTTTCCTAATCCCTGGCGTAAACTTTTCTTAAAAGCACTGGAGAGTTCTTATTTGGGATACAGTAAAGGATAAATGTTCCTTCAGAAAGGAAAGCTGGAAGAAAGGGCTGTGCAGTCCCCTCCTAAAAGAGTTTAGCTAACTGTGTCCTTGCTTCATTGCTCTTATAGACAGCACTATTGCACAAAGAAATCATCGTGGGAAGACCCTGTCCTATCAAAAGAGCAGAAGTCCCTTCTGTGGTGTTTTGACTTGCCTTTAAGTCAGACCCTTTCCCATCCCCAGGGAACGAATTCAAATCTGCAGCAGAGTTGTCATAAAATGAAGCTGAGACAGATACCAAAGATGAGACAGATACCAAAGATGAGACAGATAGCAAAAACCCCTTCATTTTTTTACTGTTTAATTACCTTTTTCTCCAGCTTCTGGAAATCTTCCTGATACTCTTTATATTCTCCTGTAGTACTTTGGAGTGCCCTCACACTTTCGCTTAGAGTAAGGTTAAAGGCTTCTTCAACCTGCAAGTTAAAATATATTACAATTTAATGAGAAGAAATAAAACTATGAAGACATCAGTGAAAATATAGAATAATACTGTACCTGAGGTTTGTATACTGCTCCTAAAACACCTCCTGTGATCTGAAGAATCAGTATCAGAAGCAGTGCAATAAAAAACTGGAAAAAAACAAATGGGGTAGAAAACTATATTACTTTTGGCCAAGGTGATATAATTTCTTTTAAATTAATATTTACCTTTCATGTGCTTGAATAGCCATGTAGGTAGAATGATTTTCCAATCAAAGCTGCTCCAACTATTTCTTCTTTGATGATAAGAAAAAGTAGTGCTCAAGACAGAGCATGCTCAGCTGGTGATCAAAACAAGGCATGCACCAGAACAGTGTCATGATAACAGTGTGTAGGTGAGAGTTGGGCAGGAGGACAGGGAAGATATTCTAGGTGAACCAGCAAAGAGAGCAACTAGAAATTTAGAGTATTAAATAGGATAGGTAATGGGTGAAAGCTGATGGAGGGAACTTTGATGATGGCTGGATGGAAAAAAAAGCTAGTGAGTGACATGCCCAAGTCTCTCTGGACCTGTCTTCTTGCTGATGAGACCAACCATACAGAATTTAGAAGGGGCCCAAACTCAAGGTGAGCAAAGAAAACACAGGATTATAATCATGCCTTTGGTTAAATTAAAAGGTTCCCATCCTCACTTGATACTCTATCCGTCATATGTAGCTGTGGCCTGTTAAAGGTAGACAAATGTTTTTCTTTCCTACCAACATCAGCATGCAGCGGCTCTCCTTTGCAGCACCGCAGCACCCGAGGAACCCAAGGATCATGATGATGGCGCCCACGGCTATTAGTAGATTAACTCCTCCAAGCAAGCTGCTGTCCACCCCCTGGAAAGAGAGAGGAAAAACAATCTTTAAGCTACAAGGTCCTCCTAAAAGCATCTGTATTCCCCAAAACAAGATCATTATTTTGTAACTGATATATATACTGAGTAGAAACTACGGGGAAATTGTGATCCATAAATAAACAGTGCTATAATGCTCCCCTCTCAAATGTTGTGGTGGAGAGCTTTGTAAAATCTGGTTTCTCACAATCTTTGCTTCTGCACAAGATGAAAATAAACTTTACAGAGTAACTGAATAAATATAGGTCTTCTGTCTTTAAAGTGGCTTTTTAGTTGGTTTTCAGTCAATGAATCTTTGCTTTTTACTGGAAGTAGGAGACTTGATTACCTCAAAACCTCTCCTACATTAACCCAATGTTAAAGAAAAAAAAAATCTCTGTTTGTCATTAGGAGACCAGGAACATATTCTATGACTGTTCCTGAGAGAACACTTCTCCGAGTGATGCTGCTTATATTATATTAGAGAAATAGTTAGATGTATTTTCCAAAGCAGATTTTTTTTTCCTTTTTTTTTTTTTTTTTAATTTCTCCAAGTCTTGATCTCTAATATTACCCTCAGAGATGAGAACTTTATTTTGATGTGTGGAGCATTCAACTAAACAATTCATATACCTCAATATTATTAAATATCAAATTATTCAGTTCCCACAGGACTGACTAAGACCAAAGGCCTAAAGAGAGAAAAATGTTCAAAGAATATTTTCCAGTCATACTGGTGCCAAGATTAGCAAAAATGTCTGGAAGTTGTCACATTTATCTTCTGATGGAAATTGCAAAGGTATATAGACAAGTATAATTTGAAGAATGTGTTGTTCTTTCCCTTTCCAAGTGGGACTGAACGTCCTGTTATTTATTCTTAGAAAGCTCTATTCATCTACAGCCAAATCCTTATGGTCTGCTCAATTATTACAGAGGCGAAACATACATTGGTTTTGAATGCGAGCTTTGCATGCCTGGAGGCAAAAATGTGAGAAAATGCTTTCAATTTCGGTCCTGACTCTTAATTCATAGGTTTTTGGGAAGTACTAAGTGTAGCTTCAGGAAAGCAGTTTGACACACATCCAAATATTCTTTTCTGAATAGGAAATCTCTCAAAAAATAAGATTTGGTAGTGGTTTTGGTTTCCCAAGCTCCATTGCATCATTTGAGGCATCATACCAGAGACTGTCAAGTGTCAAGTATGGCAGTTTTAGCTTTTAGTAAAATGTTGATTGAGGAGTGAAAGTTGTGATTCTTCCTCTTCCAGAGAGAGAATGGCAGAGCTCTCCACCATGACCTGATTTACCTGATGACACAGTGTCATCTTGAGCCAACTTCTCTTGCATCCATGCTCTGCCAGATATGAGACATCTGGGACTGGCTAAGGGTAAAGTGCCATCAGCCAAATGGCAGGGAATGTACAAAGCTATCTTCTTACCTTCACCATATTTTTATTTCCAGGTGGGAAAATACTAGTTTAAAAGTCATTGTTCTTAACTGACGGACTGTGCTAGAGCAACAGGGGAGTTATCTGAAGAATTGCAATGTAATCTATACTAAAGGCTCAGTCTGATAGCTGAAAAAAATATGCTTCTGTGTGACACCTGGTTGTTTTTTCACTTCTCTGGTCAAGGAGTCTTTTTATAAATAGAAGAATGCAAATTAAGCTTTCAAATTAATTTGCATTTCTATGTCCCAAATTGATTTGAAAGAATGTACTGCTTAAGCCTTAGAGTCAGTGCCAATGGGGACCAAGGGGTCTTTGAAACAACAGGACCAACCTCTGCTGCATGTCTGCAGGATTGAGAGCTCCTCAAAACTGTATTTTCCCTAGTTTTGCAGAAAATAAAAGTCACAATATCTGAAGTAATTTAATAATCCATACAAAAAAAAAATCCATGAGGGCAACTCAAGGTCTTTTTTCTACCCTCCAGGAGGAGTTTTAGGACACTGTAATCCTAGATTCTTGGGCATTTAAAACTCTTTATATATAAATATGAGGAGAAAAAGATAAGGTGTTTTTAAGGAGCTGTTGAAAATTGAATGAAAAAATCTTTTCTCCCTTTGAAAGTTGCAGTTACTGGGGAAATGAGAATTGTGTTGTTGAACTTAGTGAGAAAGATAAAAATATTCCCCACCAACATAAGGAGTAACCCTTAGTTATGACTATCCTATTCTAATAGGAAAAAACACAGAGTATATGAGCTGCATGTCTCCACATTATTCTCTCTGTACAATGAAATCATTAACAAAAGCATAATTATTTTTCATTAGAGGTGAGAGACACATTTTCAAACAGAAACCTGTGTGCATCAGCATGAAACTACATTAGTAACACTGGCAGCTACTTCTCACAGTTACGTATCTCTGCTTGCATCCATCGCTTTATCTGACAACCTGCACCGTGATGTTTAACCTTAACGTCATAAAATGCATTCCTCTTCACCCACACAAACCACCTCAACAAAAACATAGAAAATTTGTGGAAATGAAGATAGGAAATTAAAGTATATGCAGTAGTTTCCACATTTTACATGGTGCTGGTATGACTCCATGCATTTACCTGCTGAGCACTGCTAACACGTATCCATATAGAGAATCCCAAAATAATGCAACCACACACCTGTGGGAGAAAATAAAGTCAAGTTAGAAAGGTCAGCAAGTTTTTTACTAACATTCAGTATCCAAATTGCACCATATGCTGTCCAAACTTCTGAAATCATTTGTTTGGCAAAGCAAAAGAAACATGAATTGCTGGAGCAGAGAATATTGATTCATTTCCAGGAAAATTCATAAGTGTAGTTAAATCTTCAGGTATGCACCAAATCCCTGATGTTTCCATCCCAGAGGACTACACATTTACATGATGATTTATACATGTGTTTGGGAAGCACACAGAAATTCCACCAGATGAGAGAGAAATATAAATTGCTGTTGTATGTAAAAAACGTGTCTGTAAAGAATGGTGTTACTTGAATAATGGAAACGAGATTTGATAAGGGATGTTTGCATATCTGGTGTTTCTAGCCTTATTCAGGATGTGTCTGTAAAGAATGTTGTTACTTGAATAATGGAAACATGAGATTTGATAAGGGATGTTTGCATATCTGGTGTTTCTAGCCTTATTCAGGACCCGTATCTGAAGACATTCTCTATGGTAAACCTAACAGGAAAAGTTCTAAATAAATTCTTTTCGCTGTTTCAAATGCAGCAGTATCTGCCCATCTCCAATCCTTAGAACAGGTCTCATAAAATGCCTAGAGTACATATTGCCATTGTAATTTTACAGAAAACAGACAAGTACAACTTGGTCTTGTACATATGAATGATTGACCAGCATGACTTTCCTTAAGATGTTGAAGGCAGGGAAGACGAATCACAGGTCCAGATTCATTCCTTCATTTCTCATTGTGCTTCTATTTCATCGATCATTGAGGTACTGTTCCCCTGTGTGCCAGTCCCTCTATTCCTACCTTTGTTGTTGATGAATATCACACAGAATTTCTCTTTATTAAGTGTTGGACATAGGTAACCAAGAGGCTACTCAGGTGTGGGGATTGTGCCTACTGAGATGACTGGTGGGAAAGAGACCTCACTGAGGACCAGGGACTAGTCAGATTTATAATTATCTCCATCTGCCATTAATACTCAAGCCATAAATGGCCCTGAAGTGTTGTTATGAATTTCTCATGAAGACTGAGACTATTGAAACTAAAATAGTTTCTTTTTTTTTACATGGTTTAGATATTTTTTCTTTAAAAAAATCTCTCCCCACAGAAGTTTTCATATAATATTCAGTATCAAAAACATTAATGACCTTAACAGATCATTGAATATGGAATAGGGCCAGCACTCAGACATGGGTACCACACATTTTCCTGCTTTAAGTAAAGCTCCTATAAGTACTTTAAACATGAATAATAAAGTTGTACAATCAATGACAACTATAACATGTTATCAGATTTAACTAGATCTCCCCACTGAAACCTTTTGAATCCTGCTGAATTTGCCTAGAAACTGATGGTATGTCATATGACTGTACATTTCAGTCTTGTTCAGCAGCACTGTGTGAGTGATGAGGCTATACACCAGGTAACATGGGCTTGTTAATGTGAAAGTTTCCACTGAAGCATCTATTGCTACAAATCCAAAGAGAGTTTTTTTGTTACATAGGACCTTCCATTAACATACAGCAGAGTAGTAGAAGCAAATTTAGCTAAATGTACAGGAACACATCAATCAAATGGGAATGCTACAATGTTTTCTCAATGTAAAAATAGAAACATCATTTATAAATCAAAATTTTAGTAAGATGTACATATATTTTAATTTTTAAAATAGAGCTGTTTTAGGTTAATAAAAAATGCTCCATTTCAGTAAAATCTTAATGGTTTGTTTCTAGTTATTTTCAGAATATACAAAGTGTACAAAAACACATAAAGAAAAGTTTTGAAATAGCAAATAAAAATGGTCAGTTCCCAAAGAGTCCAAGTTGAACATGTCAAGTTTGCTGCAATACTCCATCTTAAAGTTTTCTTAAAATAAAGTTTCAATAAATAAACTTTCAATAAATATTCAATAAAAAAACTTTCCTTCCAGGAAATTTCATTTTTAATGAACTGCTAGTGTTTTCTGATGGAATAAAATGAGCTTCTTTGAAAATGTCCCCATCCATTTTCCCAAAATTAGATGGCTAACATATTTTTGCCATAATCCATGACAAAGAATCAGTGATCTTATGTCAGTCTCATAAATTGAATATCAACAGTACTGCTGTCCCTCACATTTGGTCCTTCTCAAGCTTTCAGCTTTGGTGTGAGGAGGAAACACAGCCCAGTTGGTTAAATCAGTATCACCTCAGATGAGCCTGACACAGTGCTGAACCAACAGTATATTAAGACTCTGCAATTCTCATACACAAAAATACCAAATTTGTGGGGAATTTCCTCCACTGGCACACCCTTTTCAAACATTCAATTCAATGATATCAGGAGGAACTTTTGCAAGGTTGCTTGTGTTAAAGAAAATATTTGACAGGAATACTTCCTTGAGGCACCTGAGATGACAGCTCTATGCAAGTCCTACAGACAATATTGCCTCTGGCTCAGCAAACCTGCTAAGCTTGTGTTGCTACTTCAAGGACTGATACATGCACACTAAGGTTCAGGGAAGGGGGAACTTGGTAGATGGGACTGCAAATCTGGTATTAACAACTGATCAAAGACGCTCTGTCACTAACCACATTGCTTCAAACAAGCATCAGACATCAGTATTCAGTGAAAAAATAGGTAATTCTACAATTTTGCATGATGTGGAGTAGCAGAAGTTGACACAATGAGGACAGCAGGTGAGACTGGATATCCTGCAACCTCCAAAGAAGAGAAAGAAGAAAAATCTGACACGTGCTAGGCTTAATGCACAAAACTGACAAGGATTAATTTAAGGACTGTTAGAAAATCCATATAGGCACCCTGTTCCAAAGCACAGATCTTCAAAAACCTGCAAGAGTCTGCTCTTTTTCACCAAAAAAATCAATCTGGGAAGATTAAAATCTCCCAGATTTTAATCTTCCCAGATTTAATTTAATCTTCACCAATCTGGGAAGATTAAAAACTCTGTTTGTGTGCTGGAGCCTAGCATGGGGCTTATGGGCATGTATAAGCCCAGGGGACACACATCATGTAGTGAAGCCACAGTCAATTTGCTGAACTTGTTAGACTACTCCAGGGCTTACACACTTAGTGTGATGCTGCATGAGCTGCTTAGAAAACGTCATCTGAAGGCTAGAAAGCCCATTCCTGAGTCTTCTGAGAGAGGACACTCCCTGAGAGATTGCAAAGGGTGTGAAATGAAAGAACACCAGATAAATACCCAACTGTCACTCTTATCTATTTAGGTTAAAGTCACCTTCATTTCCTAGTATCAGTAATTTTCCACTTGTCAACTGCTTTGAGTACTAGAGAGAGCAGCTGTGGGACAAGTGGCTGTAAAGTCATCTCTGTTCCCTCAACCTTACTGTTGCAGTTTAGTGATTTCTAGTAATTAGAGATAGGAATGTGAACCAAAAAATACTGTTTCATCATATTTCTGTCAGCCCATACTGTTCTTCCCAATCTTGGTCATGCTAAACTAAACATCTGCCTAAAAATAATTAACTATAGCTGCATTCCTGTCCTTCTCTGTTTCATTCTTCCCTATCTTAATAGTGCTAAACATCTTCCCTAAACCAGTTAACTACAGTTGTATTCCTGTCCTTCTCTCTTCTGTCGAGGCAGGCACAGTGAACGCTGTCAGCATTTTCTTCCTCTGAATACAGTATGGGTTTTTCAGCTTTGGTATATAGATAGGAAGTTTGTTTCACACATGCTTGTTTCAAGACTCCCCCAGGATCCCACCCCTTTTTCCTCCCTAGGAAATGCATACTGTCACTGGAAGCATAGGAATGTTCATTCTAAAAGTAGTTTGGAGCTTTTCTAGGGCTAATCTGAGACATTTGTCCATGTTTTAGCTCACAGTAAACACAGATGAATGCAAACAGGTGTGCTGGTTTTGGCTGGGTAATTTTCTTCACGGTGGCTGATATAGGGCTGTGTTTTGGATTTGTGCTGAACACAGGGTTGATAATATAGAGAAGTTTTTGCTATTGCTGAGCAGGGCTTACATCAAGTTTCCTTTCTTCTTTCATACTGCTACTCTGGTGAGGAGACTGAGGGTGCATGGGAGGTTGGGAGGAGACACAGCCAGGACAGGTGACCCCAGCTGACTAAAGGGATGTTCCAGACCATTTGACATCATGCTCAGTAGATAAAGCTGGCAGAAAGAAAGAGGAAGGACATTTGGAGTGATGGCATTTGTGTTCACAAGTAAACACTTCACATAATGAGGCCTTGCCCCCATGGAGATGGCTGAACACCTGCCTGCCCATGTGAAGCAGGAAATTAACTATTTGTTTTATTTTGTTTACCTGAATGGCTTTTGCTTTCCCTATTAAACTGTCTATATATCAACTTGTGAATTTTCCGACTTTTATGCCTTCTATTCTCTCCCCAATCCTGCTGGTGGGGGACTGAGTGAGTGTCTGCATGGTACTTGGTTTCTGGCTGAGGTCAAACCACAAAAACAGAAAAAACTTCATGAGGAACAGGAAGTCAAATTCAGAAACTTATGGATTCTTGTAAATACTGTTACATAAAGACTTCAACACAAATGTCAAAAATCTTAAATCTGCCTTCATTAAACTGAAGGAAGAAACTGGGGGAGACAGTCCTAACCATCGCTGGTCTGTCAGGAATTTCTTTGTGAGGTCCATAAGCAATCAAGGAATTTGAGCTAGCCACAGATTTTCCAAGGCTACTGTTTGTGGTCCCTTTTGAATGGTATCACCTTTACACTTGAAAAAAAATCCCTTGAGGCAAAGCCCACAATATGGCTAGTAGTTCCGCTTCTGGTTTCAGTGAACCCCTGGTGAACCTGACAAAGCTCTGTCAGGAAATCTGACAGTGAGGTTGAACCATGAGAGAAATGTTCCCTCATTTGAATGAAAGGTTTGAAGAACATTCAAACCTTTCCAGAGCTTTCAGGACCTGAAATTCTTGCAACCCAGCTGAGATGCGATAAGTAGACAAATACAAATATTCTGGGTTCAAATAACAGCCAGAAACCTGCCTGCTGTGCTGTGCTGTATTGGCCTTGGTACAGCTGTGGCAGTACTGCCAGCACATGCATTCTTAGAAACATTTACTGCCCACCATCAGAAACTAGTTATGCAATAAATGTAAAGCAAAGAACCACAAAGAAGGATATGAAAACCATTTATCAATTAAGGAGCTAAAAATTCAAGTGAATTTTCCATATTTTCTATTGTAACTGCATTTTCAGAATCTTGCATGCAAACAGCAGCAGTAAAAGGAAAACAACTGTGCATTGTTATTGGAGAGTCTGTTATCTTCTGATTGAGATGATTGATGTCCCTTGACATGAGGGGCACAAGATGAACAGAGAGACAGATTTGTAGCTTGTCTACTTTTAAATGCAGAGGAAAAGTTGTTTAGATGGAAAAAGACAAAGGGAAGGGCAAAAGTTAAATATATTCTCCCCTCCCTGATTTGGAATCATACTCTGGTTCCACTTATGCTCTATTTTCTTTACAATTTCTCTAACTGCCACATTCAGATAATGGGGAACACATTTCCTACATCATTAATAACAGTTTAAACACCAACTTACCCAAAACAAAAAGTTGAAGATGAACATGGAGTACTTCATGCATTTGCTTACACCCGCCATTTTCAACAAGCTGAGACAAAACGAGTGCTGCAAAAAAGCTTTCCCAAGAGTTTGACCTCGATATGAAAGTTGTTCTTGTGTCTTCAGAAAACCTCTCAAAGTACATCAAATACACCTTGCTGTGCTCCTGAAAGCAAATGTTACGACCAAGTCGTCCACAATTGCTTAAATAGTTTCTTTATCACAGGTAAATATTAACCAAGCATTTAGGGAAGCACTACCAGTGGTTATCACCAAGTCTCCAGCTTCTTACTGTGTCTTGTGATTTGTACTTCTCTGTAATAATCCTATGACTTGTCCTACGCCTCAAAAGTAAATAATGAAGCAGAAGTTAGTTTTGACAGGTGAGCATAAAAACATTTCACAGACTTGCTTTTAAGAGGAAATTGAAATGATTGTATTTCTTAATGCTTTATGTTGCAGGGTTTACTCTTTCACTGCCTAGTGTTTGCTGTCAGCATTCATTCAGTTGTGTTCACACTTCCACTTCAGATGTTCAACCAGCATGAAGGGATGAGTCTGCTTCATCCCGGGAGAGGAGGCATAAGGAATCTGCCAACATTGTCTCCCTCTGAGTATTGGCTTCAGTTCTTTTTCCTCTTCCTTGGCAAGCCAGGACCCCAGGAACCTGAGCATTGTGGTGCACAAAAGTCCTACTGTGCAGGTTTCCAGAAGCGTTCTGAACCCCAGCACAGCAATCCTAGTTCTGGCACCAGGTGAGGGATACCTCTCTTCAATAGGAGCTAGACTCATTCAAGAAAGCAAGGAAATAAGCCTATTTCATTGGGTTTGGGCTTTGTCTTGTTTGTTTTCTTCTGAGTCCCTCCAACTAGGAATCCTGAGGCAAAAGTTGAAGTATTTTTGTTGGGTTTTTTCTATCAGCCTGTTTTCTGAAGAAGCCCCATACAGCAGTGCTAGTAGGAATGAGGGTCAGACACAGGTTTCTCTGAGTTTGTCACCAAAAAAAAAAGCTTTACTTTTGAGGGTGAACACAGAGTGAGAGATTAAGGGAGTAAGGGAACACTGATTAATCTGAACTGATTTATGAAGTCCACTTGGCCCAAACCCAGTTTTCAGTCTTCAGTGTCAATTCCTGTTTCTCAGTTCTGGTCTCTGTATTTGAAAAAAAATGGGAAATGTTAGTACATAATGCACTTATAGATGGTGACAAAAAGATGTAAGTTAGAATCTGGCTTTTGTAGGATCCACAAAAAGCCCACCAGTACTCCACATTTAAAATAATTCCCTACAGCTGCTCTCTTAACTAGCTTTCCCATTTTCAGGAGTGGATCTGTACCTGCCTCTGACTTCCTGTGCCCCTTTCTGGGGTAATACTCTTTGTTATAACTCTAGGATATCTACTGTCTGACTACCTTATTTCAAATATTCACCCTAAATCTGAGAATGTTCCTAAAAATAATTGTGCTCATCTTTTGTAAGGATTGGGAGAAAAAACTGTGTGGTATGGTTTCTATCTAACACACTCCACAAAGAAGTAAATTGAGAAATGTGGGTGTCTTTATGGAGAGATGCCATAGCCACAGATGAATCATGAGAAAAGTTTAAACAGTCAAATAAAAATGTATGAAAAGGACCATGAAGGGTAACACGGGAATTACAGATGATACAGGATTTGAAAAGATAAGTCTGCAATCGGACCATACAATTGCAGTAACGTAAGTTTATTATAAGTAAGGGGAGTTCAGAAATTGCACCAAAAACTACACTGCTGTAAATCTTCACACAGAGTAGATATTGATTAAGGAAGGCTTGAGCCATAGCACTGTGGTCTATGAGATGCTTAGCCCAGGCATTCAGTCAGAGATGTCTGAGGGAAAATGTGTTGAGGAAATAATAATATAGGAGGCAAGCATGAGCATTCATACTGGCTCTTCAAAACAGGACAGTGTGCAAGGACCTTTGACATGCAAATGCCCAGAACTTCTGCCATTTTATTGGTTTTGATTTTGGTGGGTTTTGGAGAGGTTTCTTGGCACGTGTTGGGATTTTGGGGATTTTTAGGGGGTGTTGGGGATTTGTTTTTTTTTTTTTAATAAGCTTATTGGATATAACCACACGCAAGTTCTGGTCAGATCCTGGTTTACAACATGCTAAATTACAGCTGCTGAACAGAAACTCAGTATCTGACTTTGCTACAATTCCTACATGTTTCGTATCTATATGTTATAATATCTGAAGTAAAAATGTGCAATCTAAGTTTAGAAGGAAACAAGCAGTTTCCAATAAGTGACAGATTTTCAGCTTAAATCTTCCATATGTTTGCCTATTTCTTATTTCCTGGCTACACAGTGCTTTTTTATGCCTTGGAGAAGGGAAAGGCTACAATTATGGCACAGATTACATTCTTAGTTGTACCTACAAGTACGAAGGTCATGCAGATAATTGTAGAGGTTTATAAATCACAGGAATGGCATGAGAAATTTTGCTGCTATTTGTCTGCATATGAAATTGCTTCCACTACCCCTCCACTAACTGTAGTTGATGTTTAGATAATCAGCTTTATCTTACCAATAGTAAAGCCTAAGCCACAAACTACTCAAAAGCTTTTCTCAGCAAAAAATTTGTGAAAACCCATTTAGTTACTGCTCCTCTACAGATTAGAAGAGGAGGGTTATCAGTGCAGAGCCTGGGTGCAGCACAGGGCGAGAGCCTCTGACGCAGCACACACAGCTCCCTCCACAACAGGGGAGCTCTGACAACATGCTCACACAAAGTACTGGGAAGAGAGAGACATATTTTGGCCAAAAAAAAAAAAAAAGAATAAGCCAGTATGTCTGTAATGGACCCAGAGTAAAACATCTCCCTTTGAAACGTCCCAAGCAGCTACAGTTGATTTTACAATGTTTTTATCTTCCTTCACCTCTGAGCCTTCCTCACTCTGAGTCTTTTTCATCTTGTTTTACAACCTCCCTTTTCTCTTGTGAGGTGCCTCCACAAGCTCTGGCTGTGACCAAAGCCCCATATCAGATGATTCACTGCACAGCTAGTCATACATTCAGGTTCAGACTTGAAAAATTGATTTGTCCTGCATAGCAGTGAAGTCCTTGAATGGTGGGGTGTGAATAGTGGAGAATAAAAGGGATTTTGCTCATTTCAGTGATAAATGCACAACAGAGAAGATGGGTATGAATCACATTCAGAGTGGAGATTGAAGCTTCAAGGGGTCAGTAGATCTCAGGATCTGCTGAATCAGTAGATTCAGCTTATAATGCTGTGCAGAGATGGATTTCAGGCTGTCACTGCATTTGTCTTTCAGCCAAAGGGATACTTGACCTCTTGCAAACTCTCTTGTTGCTCTGAGGTCTCAATACAAGTTTCTGCATTTCCTAATTAAACTCCTGTCTAAACAGAAGTGCAAATTATAAGCGCTTTTTCATGCTTTCACAGTAAGTTTTTTACCCACAATGCCAGGTGAAGCAAATGTTGAATGCCAGTAGCCCTGTCAGCATTTCTGCAGTCACCTAAATGGGGTGTGCTGCCTAACAAAGGCATGTTTGCAGTGCAAACACTAGGGCAAACACCTTTAAAACAATGCAAAATTTTAGTATCTGTTCTTGCTCTTGACCATACTTGCCACGCAAGATCTGACTCAGCTTGTACTTAGTTTACTACAGCTCAAGTTGAGTTACAACCTTAGCAAATACATCTTATTGCAATATTGTAAAAGCCTGTAATAATTCAATTGTAAAACTGAAGAATACTCCTATGTCTGATTCTTAGCAAAATACTACAGTTTCCTAACTGATCTTATTTTTCATATGTGGCACTGCCATGACAGCTGAGTTTATACTCAAATCCCACAGTCAAACAATTACAGGACTCCCTGCCCTCATTTTAAATTCTCCTTTGATTTAAGCCTTGAGTTGAAGGATAAGAGTGGAAAATGACAAAAATATACCCCAAAACTCCAAAGGCTGAATAAAAAGTAGAAGAAAGAAGAAAGCACTACTGCATTTAATCATGCATCTTAATCCATTTTCATGATTTTGTGTAGCTGATTTGTGATTTATGAGTGCATAAACTTTTTGGAAACTTCCATGCCTCACAGGGTTTATATAGTTATGGCTGAGTCCAAGGCTGATACTGCAACTGACCACAAGAAAAGCAGTAGAAGTGTTTTCAGCCAGTGTTAGGCAGGTACATGGGTGATGGTATCAGCTGTTTAGCATGCCTTCACAGCTTCTTCCAAGGAGTGGACACTGCTAAGGAGTGACTAAGCTCATCCTAAAGTAGGCATAAAAACAGGACAGGTGAACTATGCCCTTGAACTGCCTGCTTCTTGCCACTAACCAAAAGGTGAATCCATGAATCTGAAGGCATACGAGATGGATTCCACGCTGGAGTTTCTTCAATGGGACAGCATCTCTCTTCCACAGCAGGCACTTTTTGCTCTTAAAGTGGTCTAAAGGAAGAGCATCTTTTGGTTGTAGAGCTTCTTTGTTTTGTTAAAGTGATGCCAAAAGTAGGGGGGAAAGGCAACAGGAAATGAGGATCTGGTCTCAGTTGTGTTGCACTGTGGGCATGTGTGCAGAAGTTTTGCCATGAGATGGATATGCCCTGACCCACAGCGGTGTAGCTGCCATAGCAAGGTGTGTAGCCCAAAGCTGCAAGCCTGTTCTTTCAGAGGCACTGACTGATTACAGCTCAGCAGCTCTCTCAGCCCAGCCCCACCCCAGTTACACCTCAGAACAAGATATAATCCACCCAGAAAGCTATATGGTGTGAATGGATGGGATGGATTTCTTGCCTGCCAGGGCTTTTACTTTCATTTTTAAATAAAAGGTGCTTGTAACCATTAGCAATGTAGACATTTCTTTCATGATGACTATGTTCATCTGCACTCCAGCCAAGAGATACACAAACTCTATATAAAAGATATAGCACAAACTGAGTTGCTGAACAACCCAGCTCGCAAGAGGCAGGGGCCTGATCATCAAAACAAACCTGGATTTCCAGGACATGTCCATGCACACAGGAGC